TCATTAACATCAAGTGTCCTCATTAACATCAAGTGTCCTCATTAACATCAAGTTTGCTCATTAACATCAAGTGTCCTCATTAACATCAAGTGTCCTCATTAACATCAAGTGTCCTCATTAACATCAAATTTCCTCATTAACATCACGTGTCCTCATTAACATCAAGTGTCCTCATTAACATCAAATTTCCTCATTAACATCACGTGTCCTCATTAACATCAAGTTTCCCCTCTCAGGCAGCAGCTCAGCAGATGCACATCACAGCTGCTGCCTACAGCTGCTGCTGCTGCTCGTGGCAGTGAGCCGAACAGTCAGGTTACAATGTAATATATTATATAACCTCTTATAGTGTAATAATGTAATATATAAACATATTCCTAATGACTGCAGTGTAAGATAATAATATAAATATTTGGTTAGTGACTTGGCCTGGGGTGGAAATTCAAAGGCATTTTGAAGCATCGATTCATTGTGAATTTTATTGAGTTAACTTAAAGTGCGTAGTAAACTGGTGACTCAATTCTATATTTACTGATAACTTAACGATAAGTTAATGATAAGTTAATGTCCCATGTTATTCTGACATGGGAATGATGGCGATATGGACATGTGTGGTCGATATATCGGCGTGATTTATTTGTAAGATATATCGAAAAGATATATCTTTAAGATATATAGGTATGATATATCTGTAAGATATGTCAGTAAGATATGTAAGTACAATATATTTGTATGATAAAGACAGCGATAATTCTGTACGATATATCGTTACGGACTACCATTCTGTTCCACGAATGTTTATCATTTAACGCTACTCTATATCATCAAGATGATGTAGGAGCGATAAGGAGTCCCAAAAAGCTCCTATTGTAATCATTATATAACAGAACTACAATGAAGAAAATAGCCGTGAAGAAATTTTATAGAGTTTTGTGCAGGATAATAGTCGTATCAAAACTATTTTGCAACACATATTTTTTTGCGTACATCATGTGTCCTCTTTAACATCAAGTGCCCTCATTAACATCAAGTGTCCCCATTAACATCAAGTGTCCTCATTAACATCAAGTGTCCCCATTAAATCACGTGTCCTCATTAACATAACGTGTCCTCATTAACATCACGTGTCCTCATTAACATAACGTGTCCTCATTAACATCAAGTGTTCTCATTAACATCAAGTGTCCTCATTAACATCAAGTGTCCTCATTAACATCACGTGTCCTCATTACCATCAAGTGTCCTCATTAACACCAATTAAGTGTCCTCATCAACATCAAGTGTCCTCATTAACATTAAGTGTCCTCATTAATATCACGTGTATTCATTAACATCAAGTGTCCTCATTAATATCAAGTATCCTCATTAACATTACGTGTCCTCATTAACATCAAGTGTCCTCTTTAATATCACGTGTATTCATTAACATCAAGTGTCCTCATTAACATCACGTGTCCTCATTAACATCAAGTGCCCTCATTAACATCAAGTGTCTCATTAACATCAAGTGTCCCCATTAACATCAAGTGTCTCATTAACATCAAGTGCCCTCATTAACATCAAGTGTCCTCATTAACATCAAGTATCCTCATTAACATCAAGTGTCCTCATTAACATCAAGTGTCCTCATTAACATCAAGTGTCCTCATTAACATCAAGTGTCCTCATTAACAT